TGTTTTTGTGGAGAGGGCGTGTGCCGCAAAAAAAAAAAAAAAAAAAAAAAAAAAAAAAAACTCTCCAAAGGGAAAAAAAAAGACATTTTTCCGTGTAAAACTTCAGAGATAGGTTTGCCAGTGGGCCTGAGAAAAGCACCCCTCCAACCCTCACCAATTTTGCAGTTTCATTGTTAGGATTTATGAAGGGCCTGAAGGTGGAGTGGTGGTTAAGCCACTGGATTCCCACGTGGGTGACTGCAGTTCAAATCCTGGGCCTGGCAACTTGCTTTCTCACTTTCCTCTCTCTGGTGGGTGAGCACATGTGCCTCCCAGCAATAATGGGACTGGCAGGTGGCGGTGGTTAAGGGCGCTGGACTCCCACGTGACCGACCACGGTTCAAGTACCGGACCTGGCAGCTTGCCTTCTCACTTTCCCTCTCTCTCCCTCTCACTCTACTCCTCTCTGGTCAAATTAAAATAAAGTTAAATTAAAAATAAAATAAAATAATAATGATGATGATGATAAATAAAATAATTCTTTAAAACAAAAGATCTGAATTTCCCACAAAAGCCGAGAGCTGGGTGTGCAGAGAAAGTGGGTCGCAGACCCCTTGAGACAGTCTGTCCTGGATATGCGGCTTCTGGGCCTCAGCAGGGGCGCGTTTAAACAAATCAAAATAAATAAAGATAAATTTAAAAAATAATTCTTAAACCCGCGGCAGACGGAAGAGTGGGAGGAGTGAAGGTGTGAGCGTGTTAAATTAAAACCCACCTCTGGGGCAGCCAGCCCGGGTTTCGCTCGGCACGCCCGGGTGTAGGCGACGCCGTCGGCGCCAGGAGGCGCTGTGTCCCCACTTTCCGATCTCGGATCTTCGCGTCTGGAACTGGAACTCGGGTGACCCTGAGAGCCGACGGGGAAGTAGGACAGGGGTCACTCTGTGGTTTCAGAGCAGTCAAAATGTTAAAGCGTCTCCACTTCTGCCGCGAATACGCAGTCGGTGTAGACTCTGCCCCGAAGACAAAGAACGACTCTACAAATACCCACGCGCCCTTGTAAGTAACAACAGCTGGTAGGGAAGACCCTACCCAGGCTCGGCCAAGTTTGTCCAGATGCACTGTGACATCCAAATTCCTCTCTGCATTCTGTGAGGTCCCCTCCCCAATTCCAGCTCCCACCTCATGCTGGATTTGCTGCTCTGTCTCAAACAGGCCCCCCAGGTTCTGCCCCGGGACTTGTACACCTGCCCCGCTGCCCACCTGCAATGCGTTCCTCCAAATCTTGCACCTCCTTTACTCCTTTTTTTATTTTTAAAATTTATTTATTTATTTATTTTGAGCAGAGAGAGAGAGAAAATGAGAAAGCAAGCCACCAGATCCAGGACTCGAACCATGGTCAGCCATATGGAAATGTCCAGCACCTCCTTAACCACCATGCCACCTGCTGGTCCCAGTCTCATTTATTTATTTATTTATTTATTTATTTATTTATTTATTTATTTATTTATTTATTGGGAGGTTTTTGCTATAGAGCACGTGTGCTCGCCAGAAAGGCAGAGACAGACAGAGAGCCAGAAAGTGAGAAATCACCCCCCAGGGGGGACGGCCACTGGCCAAGCCATAATCCCTTCTCCTCCATTCTCCTCTCGGGATTTGAGCACTCACACGTGCCTGGCGTTAGTTTAAGCCACCCAGTCCAGGACTTGAACCGCGGTTGACTACACGGGAGTCCAGCAACATAGCCATGACACCATCTGCTGGTCTCTCTTTTTTATTTTTAAAAAGAATTATTTTATTTAACCTTACTTATTTTAATTTGACCAGAGGGAGAGAGAGAAAGAAAGTGAGAAAGCAAGCTGCCAGGTCTGGGACTCAAACCGTGGTCAGCCACGTGGGAGTCTAACGCCCTTAACCATGTGCTACCATGTCAGAGAGGATCCTGTAACTATGGCTACTCGGTGTCTTTCCTTTGGTTCTTTTCCCATTCTGGGAGACAGTCTCCATTCTCAGTTTGACTGGTTGCTTCCTCCTGACCTCATATAACTCATCCCTTGGCATCTACCTGTTGGAAAGTGAGGAGGCGCCCGTCCGTGGGGGATGGTCACGCCGCAATCCCTTCGCCTCCATTCTCCTCTCGGGATCTTGGGCACGCACACATGCACATGAGTTTAAGCCACTGGGTCTGGGACTCAAACCACGGTCGATTCCATGGGAGTCCCGCGACGTAACCATTGAGCCACCTGCTGTTCCCACCTGGTGCATGTTCTCAGGTGTTGTGTATGTGATCCTCTGAGGCATCCAGATCCGGTAACTCAGCAGGGAAGCCCCAGATGGGGTGGGTCTGAGAGTCACCTGGGGTTCCATTGTTACGACCATGCAGTGGGTACCAGGATAATAATCGTTATTAACGACCGCGATGACTAGGGAGGAACTCTGGCGCCCCCATTCCTGGATGTGCATCGTAAGATGGGAGGTCTCAGCCCTGTCCCGGGAAGGAGACTGTCTAGAATAATTCATTGAAATATGAGGGAGGAGGTGGGGGTCGTGCGGGGTCAATTGCACCCCTCTGCAAGGCTATTCCATGTGGGAAGGTTCCTGGTTCAAGTCCAGAGACTTCCCTGAGTACTGGGGCCATCTGGAGGCTGGGGGTGGAGTGTAGGATCGAGAGTTTGTCGAGGGGTCCCCCCCTCTTTTTCTCTTTTTAGGTTTTTGCCATAAGGCATGTGTACTCAGCATAGAGAGACAGAGACAGAAAGTGAGACATCACCCCCCCCTCGAAGGAGGGTGGTCATGCTGCAATCTCTTCTCCTCCTTTCTCCTCTTGGGATTTCAGGCACATGGACACACACACACACACACACACACACACACATGGCATGATTTTCGAGCCACCCAGTCTGGAACTCGAATCACACAGTCGGCCATGTGGGAGTCCAGAGCTTTAACCACCACCCCACCTGCTGGCCCTTCTCTCGCTCCCCCTGGAAGAAATAAACACGTTTCTTAAAATTTAAAAAGGGGCAGGGGACCAGCAGTTAGCATAATGGCTATGTTGCTGGGCTCCCATGTAGTCGACTGCAGTTCGCGTCCCGGACCCGGTGCCTTAAGACACGCCAGGCGCGTGTACATGCGTGCCCAAGATCCCGAGAGGAAAATGGAGGAGAAGGGATTGCGGTGTGGCCACGGCCCCGGGGTGATTTCTCGCTTTCCTTCTCTGTCTCTCTCTGATGAGCACACATGCCCTATGGCAAACTAAACCCCCAAAACTAAGAGAAAAAAAGAACAGAGAGAAGAGGAGCTGCGGGTGCCGAGTGAGTCAGACGAAGTGAGGGGATGGTGAAACCGAGGACCCCGAGAGAGAGTGGGGAACACAGGAAGATGTGCTGGGAGCCTCACAGGAGCTCCGTGGCTCTGGCCGGAAAAGGGAATGATGCAACTCAGTTAGCCAAGGTAAGCCTGGCTGTAGTCAGAGGTCCCCGTGGGGTGAGGGGACCCTGACATCGGGGAAGCGAAGGGAAGTCCCTCAGCCTTAGTTTTGTAAAATTGCTCAAAAATCGTAAAACCCAAGTTAACCAACAGTTGCTACCGAGAACATTGTGACAAGGCATCTGGGGTGAGGAAATCGCCCTGTGCGTGAGAAGGTTCCGCTCTGGAGAGGGGGACCAGAGATGGGGTCCCCCAGAGCTGGGGAGGGGAATCTTAACACTGGCCCCTCCATCTTGGGTGTAAAGTTCCCTTCCGAGACCACTTTAGGCACTCTGGGAAGCTGGGGAAGTTTTGGGAAAATATGAATGAAAAGCAACATCTAGGGACCAGCAGTTGGCAGAATGGCTATGTCGCTGGACTCCCACATAGTCGACCGCGGTTCGCGTCCCGGACCCGGTGACTTAAACTCACGCCGGGCGCGTGTGCGTGCGTGCCCAAGATCCCGAGAGGAGAACGGAGGAGAAGGGATTGCGGCGTGACCACGCCGGGCGCATGTGCGTGTGTGCCCAAGATCCCGAGAGGAGAACGGAGGAGAAGGGATTGCGGCGTGACCACGCCGGGCGCATGTGCGTGTGTGCCCAAGATCCCGAGAGGAGAACGGAGGAGAAGGGATTGCGGCGTGACCACGCCGGGCGCATGTGCGTGTGTGCCCAAGATCCCGAGAGGAGAACGGAGGAGAAGGGATTGCGGCGTGACCACGCCGGGCGCATGTGCGTGTGTGCCCAAGATCCCGAGAGGAGAACGGAGGAGAAGGGATTGCGGCGTGACCACGCCGGGCGCATGTGCGTGTGTGCCCAAGATCCCGAGAGGAGAACGGAGGAGAAGGGATTGCGGCGTGACCACGCCGGGCGCATGTGCGTGTGTGCCCAAGATCCCGAGAGGAGAGTGGAGGAGAAGGGATTGCAGCGTGGCCATCCCCTCCGGGGGTGATTTCTCACTTTCTGTCTCTCTGTCTCTCTGTCTTTCTGTTGAGCGCACGCGCCCTATAGTGAAAACCTCTCCAACAAAAAAGAAAAAAAAAACAAAGGATCTGGCCCCACATGGAGGTGTCCGGGAGTCTGCAGAGGAAGGACCAAGCGAGGGGAGGCGTTCTGGTGGAGGGGACCGCCTGTCCCCCTCAGGACCCGAAAGGACAAAGCGTGTGGGGGATGAGGAAGTGGAACAAGCAAGCGGGCGGGAAGGCGGGAGCCCGGTCCTGGTCGGGAAGGAATCCCACAGCCTCTCCCTCTTCTGGCCCAGCCAGAGCCTTCACTTCCCCGTCCTGTCCTGACCTCCCCGCGCCCGAATCCCAGCTCACACTCCTTTTTCATTTATTTTTTTTGGAGAGGTTTTCACTGTAGGGCGCGTGCACTCACCAGACAGAGAGAGAGAGACAGGCAGAAAGCGAGAAACCACCCCCCAGGGGGGATGGCCACGCCGCAATCCCTTCTCCTCCGTTCTCCTCTCGGGATCTTAGGCACGCACGCACACGCGCCCGGCGTGAGTTTAAGCCACCGGGTCCGGGACTAGACCTGCGGTCGACTATGTGGGAGTCCAGCGCCATAGCCATTACGCTAACTGCTGGTCCCTTCACACCTTTTTTAAGACCTCCAGACACAGCCTAGGCACCAGGTAGCTTAGGGAGAGATAGAAGTGATGTTGTTTTTTTTTTTAATTATTTTATCTAACGTTATCTTTTACTTATTGATTTACTTATTTTCATTTGACCAGAGAGGGACAGAAGGAGAGAGAGTGAGAGAGGAGGTGAGAAATCAAGCCACCAGGTCCGGGATTTGAATTGTGATCAGCCATGTGGGAGTCCAGCGCCTTAACCACCACGCCACCAGCCAGCCCCCAGAATTAATTTGTGAAGGCTCTGACTTTCGTATGCCTTGTCTCAGAACTCTTTTTTTATTTTATTGAACTTTATTTTACTTATATATTTATTATTTTACTAGAGAGGTACAGAGTGTGAGAGGGAAAGTGAGAAAGCTAGCTGCCAGGCCTGGGACTCGAACCCTGGTCAGCCATGTGGGAGTCCAGCGCCCTAACCAGCCCCTCCTTTTTGTCTCAGAACTCTTTGCATATCAGTTCTTATTTTCTTCTTAAAAATTATTTATTTCATTTTATTCATTATTATGATTATTATTTTAGAGAGATTTTTGCTGTAGGGTAAGTGTGCTCACCGGAGAGACAGAGAGACAGGAAGCGAGAAATCACCCCCTAGGGGGATAGCCATGCCGCAATCCCTTCTCCTCTATTCTCCTCTCGGGATCTTAGGCACGCACGCACACGCGCCCGGCGTGAGTAAGCCACCGGGTCTGGGACACGAACCGTAGTCGACTACATGGGAGTCCAGCGACGTAACCAATACGCCATGTGGCGGTCCCTGCGACGTCACTTTCTGAGATGCCGGACCTACACAGGAAGGTCCCAGGTTCACATGCCTTGCACACGTGTGTGCTTGTGACACAGAGCTGCTGAAGGAGCATGATCGTGGCATGAAGGCCCCGTTATGGGTTCTCACCTGCTGGCTCTCTCTTTCATGGAAGAATTCAATAAATAAAAATTTCTCGGGCTGGCCAGGTGAGCTAGTGTTTAAGGGAGCTATGACCAACGGCAGTTCAGATCCCAGCCCCAGAGGCTTGAGAAACACCCCAGGTGTGTGCGTGTGCAACCCTGACATCCTAACAGGATAGAGAGATGGAGGAGAAACTGCGGCACGGCCCAGCCCATGGGGTGCTCTCTCCCTTGGTCCCTCTGTCTTCCTTCTGCTAATGAAAACGCCGAGCGCTGTGGTGTTGGGAGTGGCTGGATCCCACATGGCCGACTGCGTGGTTTGAGTCCCAGATCCAGTGCTTTGGAAAATATGCTGCCCCGCCCCATCTATAATTTTCACGTTTTACTAAACACTAGAACTTTTCAATGGTTTGAAAACGTACAATTATTTGGCAGGGGGCCAGCAGGTAGTGTGGTGGTTCATGCACTGGACTCCCACGTGGCCCACCGAGGTTCGAGTCCTCCCGAGCCTGGCAGTTTGCTTTCTCGCTTTCCCTCTCTGCCTCTCTCTGGTGAGTACGCGAGCCCTCTAGCACATTTTATAAATAATAATACATTAAAAATGATTTAAGGGATATAAAAAGAAAAAAGGTAAGGCTGGGCAGGAAGGGGAGGGTACAACTCCCTTCTCTGTCCCCCCCTCCCGAATGTACTCAAGGGGTTTCCTCTTGGTTCCGGATGTGGGAAGGGAGGACCAGGGGGCCAAGGGACTCATTAGCCAAGACAGGAAGCCCCACACCCAGAGGCCTCCAACAGAGAGCGGTGGGGCAGGACTTCGTGTCCAGATTGGGACGACTTGATTGGGTAAGTGACAGCTGCTCCTGCCCTCGCCATAGCCCCGGCCTGGGGGATCCCCGAACCCCATACTCCGAGGGCCTGAGTCTCTCCACAGGACAGACAGGCTGATGCACCTGCCCCTCAGGACCTGCAAGATGAAGGTTCTCCTCCTGCTCCTCCTCCCCGTCCTTGGGACGCTGGTGTCCAGCAGCAAGCCGCAGTGTACCATCCAGGACGTCATTAACCAGAAGATCGAGGAGGACTTCAGCTCCCTGAGTGAGTACCGTGCAGCCTGGCCCGGTGAGGGTCTCCGCCACCTCTCCCATCCCTGACTCCACCGCTGCAGCCTCCACACCAACCCCAACCCCAGCTCCATTTGCAGCCCCACCTTTTTTTTTTAAGTTTATTTCTTCCAGGAGCGAGAGAGATAGACACCCCCAGCAGGGTCTCTCAGCAGCAATCCACAGCCAGGCTCAGCCAGGCCGCATCACGGCCATGTGACCCCTGCAGGCTCAACCAGGACTTTCCCCGCGTGGGTTCTGCTGAACGACTGTCCTGGCCCAGCCCGCCTTGTTCTCTTTTTAGTTTTGTTATAGGGTTCGTGTGCTCGTGGAGCAGAGACAGAGAGACACACAGAGAGACAGAGAGACAGAGAGAGAGAAGAATTGAGAACTCACCCCCTAGGAAGGATGGCCACATAGCAATCCCTTCTCCTCTCTAGATTTCCGGCATGTAGGCATCCCCCCCACAGTGTGATTTTCAAACTGTCGGGTCTAGGACTTGAACCACAGTCCACTGCCTTAACGACTTCACCACCTGCTGGCCCCACTTCCAGCCCCACCTTTAACTACAGCCCCAAACCCAACCACAGCGGTCACCCTGAGCCACCTGGGCCCTGGGGCTGGGGTCGGGGGAGGTGGCTCTTGACCCTGCAGCTAGGAAGTTGGGGGACACTTGGTCTCATAGCTCCTCCTCCCCTCTCTGCTTCCCTCCTGCAGTTTTACAGGCAATAGGTAATATAGGCATGAACTGCCAAACCGTCACCTCCAGGGGGGCACTGGCCACCTGCCCCTCAGGTGAGTACGGGCTGGGGGGGCTAAGTCCCTTGGGAACACCCTCTCCCTGCAGACCCCGCCTCTGCCTTGCTAGGGAATCCTCCTCTCCTTCCCCCTGCTCTGGGACCCCACTTCCTTAGGACACCGGTGTCCAGGTTCCGAGCTGCCACCTACCGCACCTCCCCACGAGGCCGGTCCCTGATAATATTTTCCAGCCAGCTCGACCCCCGATCCCCGCAGCTGCCCAGCTCGGGGTCCAAGCTCCCCGGTTCTCACCTGCAGGATTCTCCGTCACCGCCTGCACGTGCGGCTCCGCCTGCGGCTCGGGGGACGTGCGCGCCGAGACCACGTGCCACTGCCAGTGCGCGGGCATGGACTGGACCGGAGCGCGCTGCTGTCGCCTGCAGGGCCGCGCCTGAGGTCGCGTGTGCGCAGCCCGCGCCGGGGTCGGGACCACACCTGGGTGGGCGGGGCTGGAAATAAACCAGGCGACGCTGATGTTGGTGGTGGTGGTGATGGTGTGGGTGATGGTGCAGATGGGGTGCAGCGCATTCCTGGAGGGTCTAGACCCTCTGCAAAGAGCGGGGTGTACAGACGCTGGAGAGAGGGGGGACTGCGACTGTCTTCTACACGCCCCTCCTCCACGGACCTCAGCTTTGCCTAAGGACATCCCCACCCAAGACTCACCGCCGCCTTCACGGGGTCAGTGGGTCACCTCTCTGGGCACCATGATGGTCACTCTCGGGTCTGGGGCCTCCCAGGAAGCTTCTGGGTCATTCCGCCTTACCCCCCCCCCATGAGGCTTCATCCAGGATCCTCAGCCTGGTGGGGGGTGCGACCTCTAGGACCCCTAGGGTCAGGGTGGGCCCAGAGCACTGACCCCTACCCCAATCTCCCCACCCCAAGGTGCAGGCCAAGTCAGGTCCTGGCAGAAAGGAATTTATCAATTTATTTCATTTATTATTATTTTAGTTTTTGCCATAGGATGCGGTACTGGTGTGCTCACCAGAGAGAGACAGAGAGAAACTGAGAAATCACCCCCCCGGGGGAATGACCACGCCTCTGTTCTCCTGCTGGGATTTTGGGCACACATGCACACATCCTGGGTGTGTGGGAGTCCAGAACCTTAACCATTATGCCACCTGCTGGCCCCAATTTTATTATTGTTATTTTACTAATGAATTATTTTATTTTGAGAGGTTTTTGCTATAGGGCTCGTGTGCTCACTGGAGAGACAGAGAGACAGAGAGTGAGAACTCACCCCCGGGCCGGATGGCCACACCAAAGTCCTCCTCCATTCTCCTCTTGGGATTTTGGGCATGCACACATATGCACCCAGCATGAGTTTGGAGTCACTGGATCTGGGACTCGAACCACAGTCAATGATGTGGGAATCCTCAACGTAACCATTACGCCACCTGCTGATTCCCCCAATTTTATTATTATTTTTTAAATTTGCTACAGGCTACGTGCACTTACCAGACAGAGAGAGAAAGTGAGAAAGCAAGCTGCCGGGTCCGAGACGCACACTGCGGTCGGCCACGTAGGAGGCCAGCGCCCCAACTACCACGTCACCTGCTGGCCCCCAGAGAGGAATCTTGAGTATCCTGCTGAGACCTCCTGCCTGACCTCAGGCATCGCAAATTCACAGTTACACGCAGAGAACCTCAGCACGCCCATGGTGAGGGGAGCAGGCACAGGGACGCTGACACGTACCTGTGGGACCCTCCTGTGTTTTGCTTTGTTCCGCCTTTGCCAGAGGGTGTACCCTCACGCAAGAGATACAGAGATACACAGAGACCAGTGCTGAAATCCCTTCTCCTCCATTTCTCCCTCCTTTGGGGATCTTGGGCACACACATATGCCTGAAGTCTTTTTTTTTATTTTATTTATTCATTAATTTATTTTAATTTGACCAAAGAGACACAGAGAGAGAGAGAGAGAGAGAAAGAGAAAGTGAGAAAGCAAGCCACCAGGTCCAGGACTCAAACCGGGGGACCATGTGGGAGTGTCCAGTACCTTAACCACCATGCCACCTGCTGGTCCCCATCTTTTTTCTTTTTAAGAATTATTTTATTTAATTTTATTTATTCATTCATTTATTTTAATTTGATGAGAGGGAAAGTGAGAAAGTAAGCCACCGGGTCTGGGATTTGAACTGTGGTCAGCCATATGGGAGTGTCCAGCACCTTAACCACCACGCCACCTGCTGGTCCCTGAAGTCTTTTTAGAGAGTGATTTTTGCTATAGGGTGTGTTGCTCGCCACAGAGACAGAGAGACAGAAAGTGAGAAATCATCCCCAAGATGGGCTGGCCATGCTGCAATCCCTTCTCCTCCATTCTCTTCTTGAGATCTTGGGCACGCACGCACACGTGCCCAGCGTGAATTCTGAGTCTCCAGGTCTGTGACTTGCACCGTGGCCGACTGCATGGGAGTCCAACGACATAACCATTACTCCATCTGCTGGTCCCCTGGACTCTTTTAAGTTACCATCTCTAGGATTCGAACCGCACAGTCGGCCATGGGGAAAGAGAGAGAGAGAAAGGAGAGTCTTGTGGCCCCATGATCCCCCTTCTCCTATCCCTCTAGCTGTTCACGGTCTTGGGTGGGCGCACGGCGGGAATCAACCCTTAGCAGACCATCCCCCAGCTCTCAGGGAGGACAAAGCCTGATTCTCAAACGTCTGGACTGGAGAAGAGGCGACAGGGTGGCTTGCTGGCTTTCAGGTTATTTTGAACTGCTCTTTCACTCCTACCCACCCCCTGCAATGGCCGAATCCCTTGTCTGATCCTGGTGGCCATGAGCAGGGGTCCCAATCCTGGTCGCTGTGGAGCCCACCTGACTCTAGCTACAGCGCCTGCGCTTCCCGGAGGGCACGACAGACAGAGTGAGAGGGAAAGTGAGAAATCACCCCGCAGGAACACCCGAGGCCTAGACTCACTCTCTCTGGTCCTGGCCTCCCTCAGCGATCCCCCTCCACTCCCATAGCCACAGTGGGGTCAGGAGGGAAGGCCCAGGCAGGGAATCCCAGGGCTGGAGTTCAGGGACCAGCAGATGCTGAAGCGGTTATGGTTACGTGGCTGGACTCCCACGTGGCCATGGTGGTCCCTAAAATCAATAATTCTTTAAAAAAAAAAAATGTAGTTAAATTCGAGATAACTTTGGAATGATTCGGAAGAACTGATGAGGGTATTGTTTCCTAAAGTATGGCCAAGCCCAGTCTCCCCAAGAAAGATCAACTTGGGACCAGCAGTTAGTGTAATGGCAATGTCGCTGGACTCCCACATAGGCAACTGTGGTTCGCGTCCTGGGCATGGTGGCTTAAAACTCATGCCAGGCTCGTGTGCGTGCGTGCCCAAGATCCCGAGAGGAGAATGGGACTTGAACCGTGCATGGGAGTCCAGCGACATTGCCATTACACTAACTGCTGGTCCCAAATATCTTATTAATAATTTTAAAAATAGAGGAACCAGCAGTTGGCGTAATGGCTACATCGCTGGACTCCCATGTAGTCGACCGCGATTCAAGTTCTGAACCTGGTGACTTAAACCCACGCCAGGCGCATGTGCGTGCGTGCCCAAGATCCTGAGAGGAGAATGGAGGAGAAGGGATTGCGGCGTGGCCATCCCCCTGGGGGGTGATTTCTTGCTTTCTGTCTCTCTGTCTCTCTCTGTCTTTCTGGTGAGCACACGCGCCCTATAGCAGAAACCTCTCCAAAAAAAAAAAAAAGTACTCACACGAGTGTGATGTGTACCGCGAGCAGGCCTGGGACACGGTGTTTGGGAGTGCGTGTGTACACGTGTCTAGGGCAGAACATGGCCGCGGGTGCGTGGACGACAGCGAGGCCTCTCCACCTGGGGGTTCTGGATTGAGGACTCCATTTGCAGTTCTGTCCAAGCAGGGGACCGGCGTGGGTCTGGCCTCAGTCCTGGATGTGGGTGGCGTTCTTGTGGTTAGCGTCTACTGACTCACATCCTCCCCTTTCTTCCACGAGGCCTTGGAGACGTAGATTGCTTTGGGGTGAGTCTGTGTGGGATGGAACTGGGGCCAGGGAGAGGAAGGTGGGGGCCCCCAAGCCCAGCTTCCCTCTTACTTCCAAGCCCAGCTCCCTCTCTCTCTCTTTTAAAATTGTATTTATTATTATTATGTTTAAAAATAATGATTTTATTTAACTTTATTTTAATTTGATCAGAGAGGAACGGAGGGGGGAAAAGTGAGAAAGCAAGCCACCAGGTCCAAGACTCGAACCACGGTCCACCATGTCCAGCACCCCTAACCACCACACCACTTGCTGGCCCCTATTTATTTATTTTTAATTTGATCAGAGCGGGACAGAGCGAGAGCGAGACGAGAGAGAGAGAGAGAGAGAGAGAGAAAGGGAGAAAGCAAGCCTCCAGATCCAGGACTTGAACCACGGTTGGCCATGTGAGAGTCCAGCATCCTTAACCACCATGACACCTGCCGGTCCCTATTATTATTATTATTTTTTTAAAGTTGACCAGAGAGACAGAGAGAGAAATTGAGAAAGCAAGTCGCCAGGTCTGGGACTCAAACCGCAGTCAGCCATGTGGGAGTCCAGCGTCTTAACCATCACACCACCTGCTGGGCTCTCTCTTTCTCTCTCTCTCTTTTTTTTTTTTTTTAAGGAATTATTTTTATTCATTTTATTCATCATCATCATGACTATTTTTTTTAAATTTGACCAGAGAGAGACAGACAGAGAGCAGGAAAGTGAGGAAGCAAGCCTCCAGATCTGAGTCTTTTTTTTTTTTTTTAGAGGTTTTCGCTATAGGGCGTGTGCGCTTGCCAGACAGAGAGAGACAGAGAGACAGAAAGCGAGAAATCACCCCCAGGGAGTTGGCCACGCCACAATCCCTTCTCCTCCATTCTCCTCTCGGGATCTTGGGCACGCACGCACACGCGCCCGGTGTGAGTTTTAAGCCACCGGATCCGGGCAGCAAATCGCGGTCGACTACGTGGGAGTCCAGCGACATAGCCATTATGCTAACTGCTGGTTCCCCAGATCTGGGTCTTGAAGTGCCATCAGCCACGTGGGAGTCCAGCGCCTTAACCACCACACCAGATGTTGGCCCCTGTCTGTTTTTACTTGCCTGAGAGAGAAAGCGCAATCACCCCCCAGTGGGGTGTGGTCACATCGCAATCCTTTTTCTTTTGTTTCTCCATCCCGTCATGATCTGGGGCACACACACACACACATACACACACACACACACACACGATGTATTTTTCAAGCCGCCAACACCAGAATTCAAACCATGGTCCACCATGTGGCATGCAGCTCCCTGAGCACAGAGCTGAACCACTGTTCTATGAGGCTGTCTGAGCTTCTCTTTAGAAACAGAAGAGGCAGGAGGCTGAGGTCCATCCAGGGACACACACGCACACTCACACGCACATGCACACACACACACGTGCGGTTTCCTGTAGCTTTCCTTCCTGATCACTCCTTCCTGTGGTCAGGTCTACAGGCTTCTCTTCTTGGGCATCCCTGAGGCCTCTGGTGTCCTCAGACCCTCTCCATCTGGGGAATGAAGAGGTCCCAAGGTGGGAGGTCTGTGGATCCCTGAAAAGAGAAGGTTGACCCTTCCTCCCTCTCCCCGCCTCCAGATTTCCTCATCTGCCTTGACACCTTCCTGTGGGTGGGGATGCGGGTGACAAATCTTCAGGCTGGGAACCGTAGAGGCTGAGGAAACGCCACCAGCAACAGGTCAAGATGCAGGCAGCAGCCTTGAAAGACAAGAAAAGGGGGGCCTCGGCCACTAAGGAAGGTTTGGAACCTCGAGGGGAGAAGGGAGAGTGGGAGAAGGGCGGGGGCTGGACAAAAGTGCAGCAGTGGGACCCCATGCTGTGCAAGGCTGGCCGACATGGGAAGGGTCTGGGTTCGAGTCTGGAGACCTCCTAGAGGACTCTGAGCATGTGTGTGTCCAGGACGAGGCTAGGGCTGGATCGTGGTGTTAGGAATCTGCTGGTGTGATGGTTAAGGCGCTGAACTCCCACATGGCTGACCGTGGTTCAAGTCCTGGACCTGGCGGCTTGCTTTCCCACTCTCCCCCTCTCTCTCTGTCTCTGTCTGTGTCCAGTTAAATTACCGTTATGTCGAAACCAGTGAAATGGTTTATGTCACTGGACTCCCATGTAGTTGACCGTGGTTCGAGTTTTGGATCTGGGGGTTTAAATTTCATGCCGGGTGCATGTGCATGCATGCTTGAGATCCTAAAAGGAGAATGGAAGAGAAGGGATTGTGTTGAGACCATTCCCCATGGGTGATTTTTCGCTTTCTGTCTCTCCAGTGAGCATACGCATCCTATAGCAAAAACTCTCTCAAAAAAATGATTAAAATTAAAAAAAATAATTTTTTTGACAAAAAAAGAATCTGTCGAGGTGCTGTCTATCTGTCTGTCTCTCTCTTGTGTGAATGCTCATGGAAGAAATTGTTTTTTTTTTTAAAAAAAAGGAGAGATTAGGGACCAGCAGTTAGTGTAATGGCTATGTCGCTAGACTCCCACGTAGCCGACCGCAGTTCGCATCCCAGACCCGGTGGCTTAAACTCACGCCAGGCGCGTGTGCGTGCGTGCCCAAGTTCCTGAGAGGAGAATGGAGGAGAAGGGATTGTGGCATGGCCATCCCCCCTGGGAGGTGATTTCTTGTTTTCTGTCTCTCTGTCTCTGTCTGTCTGTCTGGCGAGCACATGTGCCCTATAGCAAAAACCTCTCCAAAAAAAAGAAAAAAAAAAAAAAAAAGGAGAGGTTGGGGGGCCAGCGGATGGCATGATAGTTGAGGTGCTGGACTCCCACATGCCTGACCATGGTTCAAGACCCAGACCTAGCAGCTTGCTTTCTTCCTCTCCTTTCCTCTCTGTCTGTCTCTCTCTGGTCAAAATTGAATAATAATAATAAAATTTAAAATAAATACATTTAAAAAAAGACAAAGAGGGGACCAGCAGTTGGCATGGTGGTTAAGGTGCTGGACACGCCCACGTGGCCAACCATGGTTCGAGTCCCAGACCTGGAGGCTTGCTTTCTCACTTTCCCTCTCTCTCTCTCTCTCTCTGGTCGAATGAAAAAATAATAATAAGTAAATGAATAAATTTTAAAAATTATTTGAAAAAAAAAGAAAAGAAAAGGAGAGGTTGGAATGGAAAAGATAAGGGCCTGGAGGGCTGCTTCCACTGACACACATGTGTGTGCATGTATGTGTATGCATGTGTGTACATGTGTACATGTGCATGTGTATGTGTGTGCATGCATGTATGTGTGCATGCGTGTGTATGCATGTGGGTGCATGTGTATATGTGCATGTGCATGCGTGTGCATACATGCGTGTGTGCATGCATGTGTGCATGTGTGCACATGTGTATATGTGCATGTGTATGCGTGTACATGCATACGTGTGTGCGTGTGTATATGTGCATGTGCATGCGCGTGCATGCATGCGTGTGTGCATGTATGTGTATGCATGTGTGTGCATGTGTGTGCATGTGTATATGTGCATGTGCATGCGTGTGCATGCATGCGTGCGTGCATGTGTGTGTATCTCCCGCTGCCTCACTTACACCCATGAACATTTATCTAAGAAGCAGAGCTTAGTTCTTCACATCTTATCTTTCACAGCCAGAAATGTATTCTGTGCAGGGTTTGGGTGAACCAAGACCAGGAGCCACCCCCACACTCCCCAGAGCTCGGGCAGGCCCCAACCTCACTGACCCACACAGGTGACAACGACCCTGACTACGAGAACATCACCTTGGCCTTCAGAAACCGGGACCCGCTGAAGAGTGACCATTCCCCCAGGAGTCCAGGTGAGCCTCCACACCACCCAGTGGGCAGAGGTCTAAGGGCAGCAGTGTGACCCGCGGTGGCATCGAGGCCGTGATGTGACCGTGCCGGGGTAGCCTTGTAGGTGCTGGTGGTGATGGGGCATCTGGAGGGTGGCGGGACACGCATGAAGCCATCCACGGTCACAGTGCTGCGGACACTGATGGTGCTGGCCATGCGGTCACAGGGGCTCCGTGATGGGGACAGTGTTAGGGACAGTCGCTGGGGGTTCTGGGGACGGGGGCCCTTGGCGGTGACCTTTGTTGATGGTCAAACCTGCTGACCACATTGGGTGTTGTACCGATGCTAGAACTGATGTGGTTTAAAAAGAAAGAAAGAGAAAGAAAGAGAAAAAGAGGGACCAGCAGTAGGCATAATGGCTATGTCACTGGACTCCCACATAGTCGACTGCGGTTTGAGTCCCGGACCCGGTAGCTTAAACTCACTCCGGGCGCGTGTGCGTGCGTGACCAAGATCCTGAGAGGAGAATGGAGGAGAAGGGATTGTGCCGTGACCATCCCCCCTGGAGGGTGATTTCTCGCTTTCTGTCTCTGTCTTTCTGGGAAGTGCATGAAAAAAAAAGAACTGGTGTGGTTCGAGGGGTGTTACCAGGTGCCGGAGGTCACCTGGCCTGCCCCTCTGCTCCAGCTCCAGCCCAGCCCAGGCCCCTGTCGGACTCTGCCCAGATCCCACCCTGGCTGCACAAAGCCATCATGATCCTCTATGTCCTCCTGGCCTTCACCTTCGCGTTCTGCATCATTTTATCAGTCCTGCTGCTGGTGAAGAGTGAGTGCGCCTGGGGGCGGGCCGGATTCTCTCCCCTCCCTGCCCATTCCTTTCCCCTTCCCCCCAGCCTGCTCCCAGGAGAGCAGAACTTTAGTGCACCAGGGTCTTCCTGCCCGTCCTGAGCAGATTCCGAGATGTCCCAGGAGCTGCTGGATCTGAGAGGCGAGCTTTGGAATGGTGAGTGGAGGGTTCTGGGAGAGCCATGGCGTCGTGTTGGGGATCGGGACCCAGGGGCCCACACAGACACCCCGACGCTGCGTCCCCAGTCTCCAACTCGATGCGAGTGTGCCAGGAGGAGCAGCAGAAGGGCTGGAACCTGGTCTGGGAGCGCGTCAAGGAGGCCAGGGAAAGCATCCTTCAGGTCGATAGGAAGACCCTGGGCGAGGTGGAGAAGCTGAAGACGCTCCCAACAGGTGCCTTTGTGGGGTCCGCCCTCCCAAAGCTCAGGGTTTGGCGGGCGGGTGGTGGTGGCTGCCCCCTCGAGTTGCGAGGATCCCCCAATATGAGGGTGGTCCCAGCAGCCGCACCCATGTGGAGGTCGGGCAGGAGGGAGCTTCCAAGGAATGGGGGGCTTTGTCTGAGGTCCATCCCCAGCTTCACCTGTCTGTTACCCCCCCGAACCCCAGAAATAGCTGGAATAAAAGAAAACGTAAAGAAAATCTTGGATAAGGTGGAGCAGTTAAGTCAGCGTAAGTCAGGGCCCCGGGAGGTGGGCGAGGGTGGAGCCCGTGTCGACCTTGCTTCTCTTTCTCTTAGTTTCCTTAAAATGTATCTGCTTAGTTTAAAAATAATAACTTATCGGAACCAGCAGTTGGTGTAATGGCTATGTCGCTGGACTCCCACGTAGTCGACCACGGTTCGTGTCCCGGACCCGGTGGCTTAAAACTCACGCCGGGCGCGTGTGCGTGTGTGCCCAAGATCCTGGGAGGAGAATGGAGGAGAAGGGATTGCGGCGTGACCATCCCCCCTGGGGGGTGATTTCTCGCTTTCTGTCTCTATGTCTCTCTCTGTCTGTCTGGCGAGCGCACGCGCCCTACGGTGAAAATCTCTCCAAAAAGAAATAATAATAACAATAATAATAACTTATCGGAACCAGCAGTTGGCGTAATGGCTATGTCGCTGGACTCCCATGTGGTTGACTGCGGTTTGAATCCCGGACCCGGTGGCTTAAACTCACGCTGGGTGCATGTGTGTGCATGCCCAAGATCCCGAGAGGAGAATGGAGGAGAAGGGATTGCGGCGTGGCCATCCCCCCTGGGGGGTGATTTCTCGCTTTCTGTCTCTATGTCTCTCTCTGTCTTTCCGGCGAGCACACATGCCCTATAGCAAAAACCTCTCAAAAAGAAAAAGTTAAAAATAATAACCTTATCACTTTTGTCTGTATGATACATGTTTTACATCAGTAATTGAAACCATACAGAAGAATATTAAAAAATCATTTTAAAGATCACTCCATTCTCCACCACCAAGACCATTTTGCTAACCAGTTTTTGTATCTTACTTTTTATTATGAAAGGCCTTGCTTCTGTTCCGGGGTGGGCTCTACCTGACCCGGATCTCTCTGCCTCCCCTAGGGTCAATGCCTAGCAAATGAGAGGACGTCACTGCCACCACAGATGACATTGCACCTGCCACTCACCGTCTGTGACAGAAAACGGGCCCCCCGAGCTAGTGTGAATCTTTCCCCATGTAGAAAACCGTGTGTCACGGTGAAAACCGTGGGGTTGCCCGTGTGCATGCACGCATGTGTGTGTGCGTGCGTGTGTGTGTGTGTGTGTTAGCATTTTGTGGAGGGCGGGCATCTCTCTGTGTCCCCAGCAAGGTGTTATGGGCGAATGTGGCTGTCACAGCGAGTGGGTCTGCATGCGTGTGTCATCCTACATGTGACACACATGTGCATCATCTTAGGTACATGAGGGGGTCTTCAAAAAGTTCTCAGCGGGGCTGGCAGGTGACGTGGTGATTAAGGTGCTGGACTCCCACGTGGCCGACCACGGTTGGGGTCTCAGACCTGGTGGCTTGCTTTCTCACTTTCCTTCTCCCTCTGTCTCTCTGGTCAAATTAAACAGTAATAATGACAATGAAAAATAAATCAAATAAATCATTCTTTAAAAAGTTCTTGGCAAATGCATTATGTTCTGAAAAATGATGCATGGATTTATTTTGATTTTTATTTATTTTTCTGGAGGGTGCACGCACTTACCAGAGAGAGAGAAAGAGGAGAAAGCAACCCCACACACACCCGGGGAAGGCCATGCTGCATTCTTTTCTCCTCCATCTCTGCTTCCTCGCGGGATTTTAGGCATGTATGCACATGCATGCACACGCACCCACACATGCATTCAGCGTGTTTCTCAAGCTGCCAGGTATGAGGCTCCACCACACGGTTGGCCACGTGAATGTGGCTGCCTGTACCACCAGGCCACACAGCCAGCCCCGGAATTTCAAAATGTTCTGCACCAGGCCAGCTGGTGGTGTGGTGGTTAAGGTGGCCAGATCCCACATGGCTGACTGGTATGAATCCCGGACCCAGTGGCTTGAAAAACATGTCAGGCGTGTACACACATACATGGCCAAAATCACACAAGAAAATGGAGGAGAAGGGATTGCGGTGTGGCCATGTCTGAGAGAGGGTGCTTTTCACCACTCACTCCCCATCTCTCTCCAGCGAGTACACACGCCTTCTAGGAAATTAAAAGAAAAAATATTGGGGTGGGCAGGTGATATAATGATTGACATGCTGCACTCCCACTTGGTCGACTGCAGTTCGAGCCCTGGACCTGGCACCTTGTTTTCTTTGTCTGACTCTCTCTGGTCAAAATAAAAATAATAATAAATAAAATTAAATAAATAATTCTTTTTTTTTGAGAGAGATTTTCGCTATAGGGCGCGTGCGCTCGCCAGATAGACAGAGAGAGACAGAGAGACAGAAAGCGAGAA